CCAACACGGGTACTAGGAACTGAACTTGGGTCTTCTGGAAGAACAGCAAGTGTTCTTAACCACTGAACTCTCTCTCCAGCCCATGGATGGCATTTCTGAGGATGACACCTGAATTTGTCCTTTGGCCTCCACACCTATACATACATGTTCACCCAAATGCATATGAACATACACACACATACACAGTTTCTAGGAGAGATGGGAGCAATTTTGCATGCTTGATGAAAGCTACAAGCCCTTGGATTCAAGGGTCAGCACCACAACTCATTATCGGCATGATAAAAATAATCTGTCGTCTTGATACACTAGGGTATCCAGCACCCAAGTCAAAGAATTTTCAGTCACCAGAGACAGAAAAACCATGTGCAAAGAGGGGTTTGTATTTTATCTGAAGACTGTTCACTTTTACCTCCATCTCTAAGTTTCTCCCCAACTGAACCATCATCCAGAGTAAGGATACAGCTTTAAAATGCAGCCACGCGGCAGCTCAAAGCTCCCCAAGATTGTCCCTAGAAAGAAGCACAGGCTTCGGGAAGAAGAGGGCTCAGTTAAGTCTGTTAGAGTCCATGAGCGAGACATACTAGCTCAAAAACAGTAGCTGGTGAGGGTGTTTTATCTAGAGGCAAGCAGGTGACAGGACTTAGAGCACACCCAGGTCTCCTGTATCTCAGGAGATGGGTCCTTGGGAGACTGTGGTTAAGAAAGTATTGAAAACAGAATCCTGCAGGGGCCGCCAGAAAAGCACATGCAAGTACCAAGTCAGGAATGGAGTAGAGTTGAGGCTAGACACTGCATCAGGGTACCCAGCAAGCAGCCGGGTGGCTAGAACTCGGTCACCATGCCAGCTTTGTGAGCGAGCGGGGAGTGGGGGCTGCTTCTCAACAATCAGAAGGGCGAAGAGCACACTGCGTGAGTGGGAACAATCAATCCCCTCCCATAGTGGGACCTCCGTGCACAGTGCATCTACCCCACCTCTGAGCAGGGCCTTCCCTGTGTTGGATGCCCCATTAAGCCCACAGTGAGTCCTCAGGAACGCAGCAGCACTTGTGAGACCACCAGGGTCAGGCTCCCCAGGCCTGACCCTGGACAATGGCAACCCCAACCTCGAAGGCCCTGGGTCTCATTCTGTATTCTCTCTTTGGCAGGCTGGGATCTCAGTGCCTCCACGAGGCTGGCAAGCTAAGTGGCGTGTGGCCTCAGTCCTCCATGAGTAAGAGATAATGCCTCTCAGGCTTGGCTGCCTCCCTGTACCCTCTTTAGGCTGCTGGCACCCTCCCCACCCCCATCTGTGCCCAAAGCACAAGCTCCTGGCAGGAGCAGTGGGCCTGCTGGGGAGGGGAGGAGAGGGCCTCTCTACAAGGCGAACATCCCTTATTTTCACTGCAGGGTGCCCCAGTGCCCTAGATCCTAGTGCTGCCACAAAGGGCTCCCTTCCCACTCCTGCTTCTACCAGCCCAAGTCCACTACACCTGCACAAGCCTCTCAAATGAGGCCAGCACAGTGTTCTTGGGAAGTACCTGGGGCCTCTTCCCATCTAGCTGTCATTAAAGCCAGCACCACAGCCTACTTCCTCTCTTGGCACCCAGAAGATACGCCGGAAGGACTCCATGTACATGACATATGCATGTCATGTGCAGGTGGGGTGCCCTATTCCAGGACCAAGATGATGGCTTTCCAGTTCTTGCACCAAGAAAGCACACACCAGGTGAAGTCCAAGTCCTACTTTTCCCTGGTACTGACGGCCACCATGGACGCCTGGGCTCTGCGTCGTGGGAGCCAGGGCTCTGGGGCTTTCCCAGCAATTGCACACACTCCCCTCCACCATACGGGATTAGCACCTGTCTCCACACCAGACTTTCCAATCAGCTCTAGGTAAGGAGACTCAGGTATATCAGGTAACCCATGAGGCAGCTGCCCCAAGTCTTCAGGGGCCCAGCTAGTGGCTTAGTCTCCAAAATCTGGTGGCTCAGGGCAAAGCGGACTTATTAATAGATCGAGACAGCTCGGTGCGGGAGCATTCTGCAAGCAGCACCGCTTTCTCTGCCCGTGCAGCTCATTAACATGCCGCAGACATCGCCGTGGACTTCATAACACTAAGCAGGCTGAATGGACGGCAGGGACGCCCCTGCCCTGGTATTCAGCAAACATCGAGTGATGCTTCTCCTGGGCAGGCACAGGGCTGCATCCCTACCGCCTCCGCTCACGCCCAACCTGCCCATTAGCATTTGCAGAAAGCCCCTATTTGCATCGAGACAACGGCCCTACCCCTGAAGCAGAGCTGCGGGGGCACTGGGCATTTGTTGGCACAATTGCCCTTTGTGCCCGCTCCAGTGGGCAGGCGGGGAGCGTGTCCCAGGGGCTCACGGAGATGTGGCCAGGCCTGAGCCAAATCCCCATGCCATCTGATGAGGACACAGAAGCTTGGCGCTCGGTAGAGTGGGGCCCAGGCTGGGTCCTGCCAGACGGGACGCCTAGGACAGCCTCTAGAGCAGGGAACAGCCACAGTCCCCCTTCCGGAATACTCCCCACCCTCCTGCCAAGAGGCAGTGGTAGGGACAGTGGCATAGAGCACAGGTCAGCTACCCTCAGACAAGCGCGACTTGGTGGACTGGGGCCCCAACACCTGTTGGCAGGATGAGAACAAATGCCGTTGGTCTCCCTCTGCCATACCCGAGACTGTCCTCACAACTGTCAAGAAGCTGTAAGGTTCTGGTGGGTCCTGCAACAGTCTAGTTAGTCCCCCAAATGTTCTGGTGGGTCTCAGACACTGGGACGAAGTTTGGAAGGGGCGGGACAAACAGAAACAGCAGCAGAGCAGAAAGGCAGCATATGGATGCGAGGGCCAGTGCTTGCACATGCACTGCCGGCTCTGGAACCCTAGTTTCCACCCCACTAGAGATGTGAGGTCAGTGTGCAGATTGCCTTCTTCCTATCAGGCACAGGGCCTGGTCACACAGTAGATGAGTCTGGGCATGACTCAGACGCTGGACTGTGTTGTCCATCCATCCCCCAATGGGACCCTCAAGTGGAACCTTCCTCTGGGGTCTGGGACCTTCCAATGGTAAACAGGAGCGGTTCTGAGTGGGGCCAGTGTCCTTAGACAGACAGGACTCTGATGGTAGAAACCAGGCCCACAGGAACCAGCACTAGGCCCTGGCTTGCCTACTGTTGCTGGATTGAGTGAGTAGTCAAGGGAGAGGTGAGCTCCTGAAGAACTGTGCCCTTGACCCAACCTTCTACCTTTCCATGTGGAAGAAGGCTATCCCCCACCTCCATTCAACACCCAAACTATGGTTTATTCATGTTTCAATCAGGTTGTCTCTTCCACCCAGGATGGTGCAGGGGCTTTAAGAATATTTGCCAGGCCTCTCCTCCCTGTCTTTGGAGGGTGGTTCAGGGCTCCTGGGGATCCCCAAATCCACGGATGCTCCAGTCCCTTACATAAAACACTTGGCATCTGCATAAAACCTTCCTGCAGCCTCCTGACATCTTGATTCCTTGTACTAGTGACGGCTTATGTACAATCCTTCACAACGTCACAATAGTTATGTTGTGAACTAAAGCCAAGAGAAAAGTACATGCAAGCTCAGTACAGGGGTTTCCTCTTTGAGCACTTTTGGGCCATACTTGAGTCAGGGGATGCAGAGCCTGTGGACACTGGGGGCATCTAGACTGTCTGCATTAGTACAGTTTCCACCACGGTGCCTCAGAGGAAGTGACCAGCGGGGCAGTGTAAGGGGCTTCTAAGAGATGCTCGGGGTAAAAACAGGCTTTGTAGCCAGGCGTGGTGGCACACACCTTTAATCCCAGCACTGGGGAGACAGAAGCAGGAAATCTCTGTGAGTTCCAGGCCAGCCTGGTCTGATCTACATAGAGTTCCAGGCCAGCTGGGGCTACAGGGAGACCCTGTCTCAAAACTAACAAAAAAAAAGACAAAAACTAGGTCTTGTGGTTTTCTCCTGGGAAGACATGAGCCACATCCTGGTCCCGATAACAGCATTGTTATATCAAAATCCACATTGACCCAAAGGGACGAAAAGACCAGAACCACTCAAGGTTTGGTTATAGACAGCTACTAGAGAATTCCATTCCCCTAAGATGGGCCCTGAAGTTGTCAGAGAACTATGAGCATTGCAGGGAGACTTCTACAGCCCCCACCCCCCATCCATCTCTCAGGGGTTACACTGTACACTCTGCATCTGTGGCCACGAATGTGAGGACCCTAGACCTGCATAGCGTTCCCAGCTGCCCATGTGTAGCCCTTCCTTGTGACAGACCTCTCTGGCCAGCAGAAACTTCTTGCTCCTGCTGTGGACCCCTGGAACAGCACCAGACCAGAGGGAAGATGGGTCAAGGGTACCCTCCTGTATCTAGTCACCTAAGGGCACTTCTGGGAACAGCAGAGGTTGGTGAGTCACACTGAGCATGCCGCACTCCTACTGTGTGGCCTGGAGCAGCTGCCTGACCTCCCTGAGCATCCTGGTCTCCCTGTATATTACAGAGCCTCGTTATGGCTTACTAGCACCTGAGCATCTACATCTCTGTCAGTGGGCAAAGACCTAAGACGTCGCTGCAGTTCTAAGCATAGAACTTGGGTGCTGACAGAGGCAAGGTAAAGATAACACAAATGTTTTTCTTCCCTCCTCATGGCCAGGTCAATGCTGACCCCTAACAGTCTATGCTGGTTCCAGGTGTCTGCTCAACAGAATGTATGGCAAGTCCCCTCCTCAGGAAAGATCGAGGGAACATGGCTTCAACCCTTCTAGAAGTTTCCATGTCTATCCTGCCTTCCATCCTCCAGTGGCAGAGACCAATTCCCTACCCCAAGGCCATGCTCAGGTTCTCAAGGTAGGGAGTAACTGACTCTGTGTGCGCTGTGGGGCCTTACGCACAAGTGCAGGAGAGGAGGGGTGGCATGAAAGCTCCCTAAGGCCAGGTTGACCCTTCTGCAGGGTCAGCACTGAGCAGCTGGCCCTGAACATGCATGTGAGCTTGCTCACCTGAGCTCTCATAGCTGTCAATAGAGAAATGGTCCAGTCTCCGTTCCTCTGGGGGATCACAGGTGATGTGGGGGACTGTGAACATCTTCTCTCCAGGATTCACTCCGTTATCCTTGTCCAGCTTGAACTTCTTCTTCTTTACCTAAAAATCCACATGATAAACGACAGTGCCTGGGCACCACATGCCAAGTCCTCCACCCGCCCCAGTACACCTGCAGAATCAGATGTACCACAGTTGTACCCTGCCAGGGAAATGGGGCCCAGTGACTGAGCGCAGCATCTCAAACACTGTCGGGGCGGGGCTTTGGTGTGCTGGTGCTGCTGCTGGCCTTGTGGTATTGCCTGGCCCTGGAGTGGCTCTGTGAGTCACAGCCCAGGAAGGGCAGGAAGAAAACCAGTAAGCAGTAAATATGCAAGCCCGGGTCAGGGAAGCAGAGCTGAAGGCCAGTGCAGCAGGGGGTGTGACGGGAGACACGTGTGGGCACTTGGGCCTCTTCAAGGAAGTCACCCAGAGGAGGGGAGGAGAACATTGTGTGGATGTGAAGGAGAACATTTGGGAAGAGGGAAGAGCAAGTTCAAGGGCCCAGCAGCATCTAGGAGCTAGGAAGGCCAAGTCCTTTCAAGGAGGGTTGGGGTGGAGGCCAGGAATAGGCAAAGCCACCACCTTTCCCTCACTGCTCTAGACAAATAGCAGGACTCCTGCCCACAGCTGTGGGAACTTATTTTGCCTAAGCCAGTACCTAATTCCTTCCCTACCACCTGCCCCACACAACAGGGAAAGCCCAATACCAGAGCTCTCTCCAGAACCTTCTTCAGTGGCTGACTAGAGTCGGTTCATTCCATTCCTGAAGAATTCTCTCTAGATCTTTCATGTTCTGGTCTTTCAGTGGCCAGTCACTATGACCCTAAGGCTGGGGGACATGAGGATGGCAAGGACCAGGCACGGGATAGACTTCCCCCAAGCTCAGAATGATGGTGGCACCCTGACACAAGGGTCCCAAACCCAGCCTCCACAGTCCCCCTACCTGCTAACAAGCAATCCCGGCCCATTACCATGACAGACTTCTTTGGCTTGGGACTGGGGGACAACAGAATGTGGCTCCGGGCAGGCTTCCGGACATAGATCTTCCAGGTGGATGAATCCGGGTTCTCAGCAGCATAGCACCTCCATGCAGTCTGAATTTGGGCAGAAAGGAAAGGAGGGGCCAGTGGTCCGGTCACCTTTCTTGGAGACCCTAGCCGGCTCCTAGGCCCCCTGCCCTGACAGCTGGACTTGGCCTTCTAGGGCCGGGAGGGTTCTGCCCCACACATCAACTATATCACTCATAGCTCAGATGCCACCAAGGCCTTTGGCTGTTTCCTGAGTCCCTCTTGAAAAGTGGCCCTGAGCCAGCCCCAGACATCCAGAAATGCTCAGACTAGGCATGTGTAGCAAAGGGAGAGTCAGACAATCAGGGTTAACCCAGAGGGGAAGGATGGTAGAGGAGGTCTGTCTGGCCCTATGTGAGCATTAGGAGGGTGTGGAGGAGCAGGCCCCCGAGCCAGTGGGATGTGAGGTCTCACAGGGACTTCAAGTGTCATCTTGTGGATATGGAAACTTTGATGGCTGCAGGTAAAGCTCTTGGTCTACGTTCTAGAGGGACCTTGGGTTAGTCACCACGGCAACAGGAGCTGGAGGACACCGGACCTGAGGGAGCCCACAGCCTCCAAGTAGGAAGAAGTAGATCTCAGAGCCTCTAATGAGGACACGTCATGGTGACCTTGTTATTACTGGCCCTGTGAGCTTGAGAAAAGTTGAAGATTCCTACACGATGGCAGCATGCCTGGTGACAGCCCCACACCACGACAGGAATGCAGCAGCCACCGAGGGACACCTATGATCCAGGACGGTTTGGAAGCCCTTCCAAGGGCTTCACGTCTCACACAAACACCACACTGCCAGCTCCACACCTCTTCACCCAAGGCAGCCTGCAGACCACTCCCAGTACAACTCACGTCATCCCTGCTGCCCACTTCCGCTACAGCAGGCCCCATCTTCCACTGTGGGTGCGGTGTCTGAAGGAACCTTAGCCACAGGGTGTAGGGCTCCTTGAGCAGTGGCCTTGACACTCCTCACAGGAACCAAATCACTGTCCAGCTGTGGGTAACTCTACCTACATGGTCAGGCCTGATTGCCACAGGGTGTAGGGCTCCTTGAGCAGTGGCCTTGACACTCCTCACAGGAACCAAATCACTGTCCAGCTGTGGGTAACTCTACCTACATGGTCAGGCCTGATTGCCACAGGGTGTAGGGCTCCTTGAGCAGTGGCCTTGACACTCCTCACAGGAACCAAATCACTGTCCAGCTGTGGGTAACTCTACCTACGTGGTCAGGCCTGATTTAAGCTATGGGACTATCAAGCTAGGCCCGGGGGAGCACACAGCCACAGCCACTGGCTTTGTGGTTACTGTCTCCTTATCTAGGAAAAAGGTCCAGGCCCAGACAGCTGGTGCCAGAAGGGCTTCAGAGAAACGTGATGGGGCTCAGAGCCTGGGAACCCAGACAAGACCATGAAGCCACAGCCCCTGGGAAGGGCTGCCCTTCACCTAGTGTCCTGCCCGGGGCAGAGTGTTCAGGACAGTGAGGCCTGCCTGCAGGAGCCCCCTTAAGCCCGTCCCAGGCCTCAAGAGGACATATGAGCCAGAGTACCCAGAGGGGCTCAGACTGATCACAGCCACTGCATTGGGCAGAGGGCCAAGTCCACACAGATGCTGGCCCACCCAGTCAACCACACCCACACTCCGGACCTTCACCTGACCACTCCTCAGCCCATCCAGCAATAAATGTGCACAGAGACATGGATTTCCAAATGGTTTCTGTGCCTAAGTCTCTTGCACTCAAGGGCAGTCCAGTGTTCCCAAGGGCCTGGAGTGCAGCCACAGAGCCCAGCGTCTCCCCAGTTATGTCTAGAACTTTCCTTCCCTCTTGATCTCAGGCTCTGTCTTTCCTGATCCAGCCTGTGAGAAGTGGCCCGTCGTCTAACTGCTGCCCTTACTGCTCTCACCAAGGACCATCAGCCCCAAGGGATGTCAAGCCTCCTAGAGGGACTGCCCCATGCCACCTGGACATCCCTACTCTCCTGACTCAGCCCTGTCCCCAGGTGCTGGCTGGTGGGGAGCAGACTGAGTGTCTTAGATACTGAAGTGGCTGTGGTCAGGCCTCACCCCCAGCCTGCAGGTGTGGCCCTAGATGGGAACAGCATGGTGGGAGATGGCCCAGCGCGCCCATACCTGCCCAGTCAGTCACCTTAAGAGCAGGCTCTTCCTCAAAGGGGCAGCCATGCCTTGGGAGGAGTCCATAACAAAGGGATCCCTTGCCTCTCAGGGTGGGTGGACACAGTGGCCGAAGGTGATGCCAACTCCCAGACAGATTCAAGTACCTGGCACCAAGGACAGGCTCGGGGCACGCACCTGAATAAGTGATGCTGCGGCCGGGATCTGCCGGTTGAAATGCTTCTGCCGCTGCTTCTGCTGGACCTTCAGGGCAAACCCAGAGCCAAGTATCCCCTGGTGAGGGACAGAAGTGAGGCCCATGGTTATACAGGCCATGCTGGTCAGTACCCAGCCATAGGACAGGGGTGCGGGGAAGAGCTGGAGGCCACAAACGCCCAGAGAGCAGACCTGCACAGTGGGAGGGGCTGTAGTAAGGCAGGTACCAGTGAGAGGTGGCTACCAGGTAAAGTAGATGCTACAGAAGGTAGATGCCACATGAGGCCAGCCCTCAGCTGCAGCCTGCCTGCCTTGCCAGCCGTGGAGACAGAACACCCCCCCTTCCCAAGGGCTGATTTAATAGGAAGTCTGGCTCCAAAAGAGACCCACGTCTCTCTACTTATTCCCAGGCACCACCTGTAGGAAGGAGCCAGGTGGGTTAGCCATCTATCTATGAACAAGGGGCACAGGGTCCACACCCCTGGACTAAGCAGGAGTTAGAGACTGTCCCCAGTGAGGAGCCCACAGCTCCTGCAGACAGGGTGACCAGGCGAGCAGAGGCAGAGAAAGAGTGCTGCCCGAGCAGCCAGGGCCCATGTAAGGGACACACATGCAGCACCACACCTACACCAGTGCATCACGTACACACACACAACAGACACATGAACACACAGCATTTCCCATATGCTGCAGAGATACATGCAACACAGGCATACTGTATATACATGGGACACACATATACACACATTAAGTGTACACATGACAAACATACACATGAATACACAAATACACATACACGTATAATACATGTGCACAAAACGTATATACCAGAACATACAATGTGCTGGATAGCTTTAGTGTCAACTTGACATATCTGGGTTGAGGGAGCCTCAGTTGGGGAATTGCCTCCATAGAACTGGCCTGTGGCCATGTCTGTGGGGCATCTTCTTGATTGTTGAGTGATGTGGGAGGGCCCAGCCCACTGTGGGTGGTGCCACCCCTGGGCAGGTGGTCCTGTGTCTCATAAGAAAGCAGACTGAGCAGGGGCCAGGGGAGCAAGCCAGTAAGCAGTGTTCCTCCATGGCCTGTGCTCCAGCTCCTCCCTCCAGGTTCCTGCTCTGAGTTCCGACCTTGGACTCCCAGATGAACTGTGACCCGGGAGATGTAAGACAAATAAACCCTTTCCTCCCCAAAGCAAACTAGAACAAGATGGAAAACATATGCTATTCAAATCAACAGACACTTGTACATGCAACACATATGCACAGTACATACACACATGTATAAGATTTATATTCACAAGGACACATATGCACATGTGCCCATTGTGTCCCATCTACACATGTGCACGTATGCCCACATAGCATACACGTATGTAGACCTCCTAGGCCTGTGATTTCTGGAAAGAACATGAGACATAGCCCCTCCTAGCTGCAGGGCAGGCCCGAGGGTTCTGCCCTGCCTGCTCCCTTACACCCCACTGCTCCTGTACCCTGTTCCAAGGGACCCCCAAGGGCTAGAGGCAAGGACGGATGGGAAGCGGGGGAGAGGGCTCTGATGGGTACCCACCGCTGGGAGCGCAAAGAAGGAGATGGCGAAGACAGAGAAACAGGAGGCGATAGTCTTCCCGACCCACGTCTGCGGCACCTTGTCTCCATAGCCAATGGTGGTGACTGTGACCTGAAAGGAGGAAGGGCAAGAGTCAGTGGCTGGTGGACTGAAAACCTCAGGAGGGACATCTGCCCACCCTAACGCAGTGTCTGATGATCGGAGACCCCAACTCAAGCCCCAGGATGGTGGCACAGCTCTGCGAATGTGTCAAGAACAGCAGAGAGATACATGGGTTCGAAGCCCCCAACTTCAATGCTGCAGGCCGCACAGCCCTGGTGCTGCAGAGAGCACACAGCATGCAGTCAGGCACATAGCTTGGAGCCCACCCACAGGGGGCCAGGCCTCCTGCCCCATTATGAGGAGCCCCATTCCTACCACCCTAAGAAGTTACAGTGCACTGGCCCCCAGGAGGCCGGAAGCTCCCACTACTGAGGCCAGCCGTCCACAAAGCCTCAGGATGGGGCTGACGTGCCGCTTCCTGCCACCAGCCCAGGGATCCAGATGTTTGCTTTTTTCCTTTTCAGAGAGAACAAGACAAGGCACTAGCCTTCTTCTCGGTGGGAGAGCCACGTCCAGGGTGTGTGGTGGGACGATAGGAGGGCTGCCCCCCAGGTCGTCCCCTGCTGGCATCTGAGGTTTGCTCCCAGGGCCTCTGTTGAGGGACTAGGAGGCCCACCCTAGCTGTGCCTGGCTGCTGGGTCTCACCCTGGGTCTGCTGTGTGCCTGCCTCAGGCCTGTTGGGGAGACCTGGGTGGTCACATGCACTCACACCGGGGTTTAGCAAGGTACCTGGGTTGGTCCTACAACTAGGGCAAGTCAGTGTGGTGAGAGCCTACTACTCAGGGTCTTCATAGTCTACTCCAGACAGCTCAGCTCTCACCCCTTGGGGGGGCCAAGTGACAACTGCCCAGCAGAGACAACCCCTAAATGACCCCCTATCTCACAGGGCCAAAGAAGGGGTCTGGAGAGTGTCATCTAAATGCAGCAAGTCCCAGAGAAGCAGCCTGAAGACCCCCACACACATGGTCATCGCTGCCCACTCCAGCTCCAGGGAAACCCCAAGCCACTGCTGCTCCCCAGCAGCCACTGAGGAAGAGGGCAGGCAGGAAAGGCATGAGGTCAGAGCCAACCAAGGACACGTACATGGACACACGGACCTGGGGACAGGTGCTCACAGTACAGATAAGTTCTCTGAGCAGCTAGAGCAGGGAAGTGGAGGACGAGGGCAGCAGGAGTGCGAGCCAAGTCTGTCACACCGACTGGCATCGTAACAGGTGATAAAGCAACGGGTCAGTTTCCTCATCAATGGCCGGCTGAGGTGATAGCAAGCCACAGCTGAGCCCGGGCTACCACTGGGCCACCAGCTCAGTGCTATACCAGGCCGTACAGGCTTTACACTGGTGTTTCCCACGAGTGCCCACTGGAAGTCTTTCTCTGTAAACACTGTCCTTAAAAGAAATCCACATCCCACACAAACAGAAGACATGGGAAGCCGTTTGCTACTGGGCCCTTTAAAAGAGCACCCTGCTCTGTGTATGTGGCCGCACTCACAAACGTGCCTCACAGGGAGACAGGGACACTCACACTCGCACACACATGCACCATCAGTGGAGCCGATGCACCGTGAGCATGCGTGTACACAGCACAAGTTCACAAAAAGGCCTGGGGCCCACATCTGTGCCTGACGGGCAGAGCAGGCACTGCTGAGATATCCTGTATGCGCACCCCTGAAACAGCCCAAATTGAGTACACCAGAGTCAGGCCACTCCCAGGGCTGAGGACACCACTTCCGGAGGACCAAGAGAGCTAAGGCCCCCCTGCTGGCTCCCAGAGGGCCTGCACCCCACATGTGAGAGCTGGTCCACAGCTGCCTTCTCTGGAGGCCAGACATGTTGCAGGGGCTGCCTGCAAAGGCAGGCTCAGGCTGCAGCCAGTGGGAGTTCAAGGTCACCTGGAATATATGGCTTAGTTGAGGCTAGCCCAGGCTATATGGGACCCTGTCCAAAAAAAATCACAAAGGTGAGGGGGATGGATACAGAAAGGACCAGAAGACCTAGCTGGCTGGCAGGCAGGCTCTGTAGGGACAGGGAATGGAAAGGTGAAGAGGCTAGAGATCACACCTTCCCTCCTGGGTCTTAGCTGCCCCCGACCCCTGGTCAGCAGGAGGAAGGCCCTATTGTAGTGGCCCAGGGTGCTGGCTGGCACTCTGTGGAGGGACTCCACCAGCTAGCAGCAGCAGCATCTCCTCCCCCTCCCCCTCCCCCTCC